GTTGTAAATGACCTGCAGACTGCAGGTGGCAGTTCTCACAAGGCTACTGACAGTTCAGTTTGTAGAGGCAGAGGATTTTTTTTATGATATTATAATACGGGAAATTTACGGGAAAATACTAATACGGGAGGACGGCGGGAAAGAGGGGTAAAATACGGTAGTTTCCCGGCCAAAACGGGAGACTTGACAGCTATGCCTGGATGAGCGGTTGGAGCATGGGTGGATGGACTATTTAGGTGTATTGACTATTTAGTAATTCAGTATGTTATAGAAATAGTAGTAATAATAATATATAATATTAACCTAAGCCAATACAATGGAAACGTGAACATTTTTCAATAACTGATGTAAAAACATTATAATCAGTACTTGAGTTAAATTGGATTTTATTTTATTTATTTAAATATACACTTTGTATTACTTTTATACGAACTTCACCAAAACAGCCTGCCTACAACATTTTTTCTGAGTCCACATTATGTTCAGTCCTGACATTCTGTAAATTAAGGTGGAGGACAAAAGATGTTTAATTGTCTCCCCATTAAAGCCAAATAGCGCGCATATATTTGTATGAGACAGAATGTGAAATGGTTATTGAAGCATTTGCTGTAAAGGTGAGAAAGTCCACGTGTGATGTCACAGCACCTCCGTAATTAGAGGATTTAAAAGGCGACGGTCTGAGGTGAGACCATGAATCAAGCTCCTTCAGACCCTCTCTGGCTGCAGAGATTAGTGCTGTGCCCATCAGCTGGGGGAATTAAGAGTGTGTAAGGATGCGATTTATCTATATGGGCTGCTGTGGACTAGAGTGATCAGCAGAACAGAGTAACAGTATATTCCGGAAAGTCAAAGCACTGGGGTAAGCACCGATAAAACTTATTGTTGTCTTTCTTCTTCTTTTTCTCTCTGCTTTAAAACTGTGAAACTTTTCAGAGAAAAGTAAAATAGTTGGTTTTCTTAGAATTATGTCTATTATGTATAAGTATGTAAAGCCTTATCAAAACTGCTTGATTCTATATATATAGAATACTACACTATAGGCACCTGAAATGCTATGACCTTTTGAGTCTTGAACAAGAACAAGCCTACTTTTTGACCTCACTACAGAGGACGTGACAGTCGTGTCCAGTGGTTGATTGGCTGGTGTGGTTATCTGTCTTCTCTGAATTCCTTTTGACCATGAAAACACTGCTTTCAACTATGCAGGATGCTGCCCAGTTATGTAAAACACCCTGTTACACTAGTGTTGTCGGTTTCCCCTGTAGTAAGCTAATAATTTGAGTGAAAAATACGAGCTCAGTGTTTTAATAGTAGTATAATTGCCATGGTTTTTTTTGCATTTTTTAGTACGATTGATGATGATGCATAAAGCTACGCTGCTGATGTTGTGCTGCCTGACAGTGCCTACATCCTGTGCCACACTCTACCCCGGTCTTAGGTATGTTCACCACATTCTAACAGATATGTTAGCAATGTTTCAGATTGTTACATTTGATTTTAATACTCTGTTAAGTCTGTAGTTCAGCTATGAATAGAGCCGTACACTTACACTGACATGCCGCTAATACAGGCATCTTATGTATAGTTAGCATCATTTTAAAAAACAAATCATTCGCTAACTTTAACATTCCTGGACCTTCTTTTGTCAGTTTTCTGAAAAGAAAATGCCATGTCCTAGGTCGGTATCCAGTGACGTGTCCCTAATACAGTCTAATAGATAATAGATAGTAATTTAAACAAGAAGCTTTTGAAATTGTGGCTAAAATGCCCATTTATACTATTGCACTGGGAAATTTAGGTTATATTCTCAGTCCATCAAAACATTCTGAATCAGATTTAAAAATAATTTTGATTAGCCTACCTTTTATGACTTCTCTGGTCATTAACATACCAAGGTGGCAAAGAAAGTGGGCACCTCTTGGCTTTCTGACACAGCCAAAGTGTGACCTCATTGTCTCAGGCTGTTTAAAGCAGAGCCTTAAGCAATTACACAGGCCTGAACCCTGAATCACAGCCTAACCTCACGGGCTCCAATCATACAGAGCTGTCAGCTTCCTGCTTTCTGCAGACATGCAAATACAGAAGCACGAGGCTTTTTTCACCTAGCATCTCTGATTTAATGAACCCGTGGAAAGTGCAGGTGTGGGCTTCCAAATTTCAAGAAAGTGCTTCAAAAGAAATTAAATTTAAGTTCTTATTTGCCTTGTTCTCAAGTCTTTCAATGAGCCCCCTCTATCTGTGTCATATAAACTGGACACTACACTGAACAAAAAAAGACTGGATACCATTAAATGGTTGATCTATCCAATGAACTTGATGTGTCATTATCAATGCAAAAAGTGCTAGGTAATGAAAAATTACACAAAAGGTCTTCTAATATTTATTGAATGTGAAGTATGTGACCTTGACATGGGCCGATGGGTGGATGGATGGATGGATGGATGCACGGACGGACGGACGGACGGATGGATGGATGGATGGATGCACGGACGGACGGATGGATGGAGTTTTTAGTGCAATGTAGTTTACACTTTCATAGACACATTGATACTGGTGCCCTGCAATGGGTTGGCACCCCATACTGGGTTGTTCCCTGCCTTTTGCCAGTAGCCTCCGGGATAGACTCTGGACTCCACATAACCCTGCAAAGGACAAGTGGTTACGATGGATGGATGGATGGATGGATGCACGGACGGACGAACATTGATACTGTGTGATGTCATTTGTTCCAGATTCGACCAGAGGGCTCTGGCTTCCTTCTTGCTCAGCTCGTCCGCAATGCTCCCCAACCAGCTGCCTCACGCCGAAGACAAGACCAAACAAGCAGCTGACCACCGGTGAGTGACACTCAACCCTTCAGCAGTTACCATGCAGAAGCTGCAGCATCTCTTGCAAGTTCATTATTGTTACATATGATTTCACTGCCAAACCGGTTTGGATAATGAAGACAACAGAAAATGTCAAATTGCACTATGAAAACTGTAAAGCTTGGCCATTTCCCTTTTGGCTTAAACATCCCCTCCTGGGGAGTGTTAAATGGCATGTAAGAGAGAATCATGCGATGCATTCCGCCTGCCCCCTTTGCCAGAGCCACCAGGCATGCTGATGCCATCTTTACCAACAGCTACAGGAAGGTGCTGGGCCAAATTTCAGCTCGAAAATTCCTCCAAACAGTAATGGGGAAGCGATTTGGGTCAGTAGCTTCACTCGCCACATGATCCTTTCGAAATGTATAATGTACATTTCTACCTTAAGGTATATAACTTCAGAATGGCTTGTTTATGCTACCAATCGGCATATAATAAACATATGCACAGACAAAAACACACACAAATGAATTCCAGTTTAATACCCTGTTAATTTGGAAATTTAAGTGTAATTTCTAGAATGTTGTTTTTATGTACTAGTGTGGCAGAGGCAAGAGACAACGTGAAACGTCAGTCAGGCATTTGCAAGGACACGTACAAGCAGGACCTTACTGCCATCTTGAATGAACAGAAGATCAGACGGTGGCAGCAGGACGTCACGAGGCACAGGTTAGCGGCAGAGTGTCACGTTACGATCTCAGCCAGGATCAGCGGCTCACAGCCACAGAGCAAACTAACCTACCAAGCATTAAGACCAGTAACCAACAGGATACCCCCCTCTCTGGTTGTTTCAGCTGCAGCGGGAGTACTTGTGAGCGGAGTGAGACGGCGTTTTCTTCTCCTGGGGGACGGAGAGGTGGAGCCAGCGACATTGATCATTGATCACACCGCTGCTGTTAGTTTTCATTTCAGTACAATCAGGGCATTCTGAATGAAGAAATACATTGCGGGAACCCACTGTAAATAGACATACCTTACATTTGCATAGTTCTTCATTCTTTGATTTTGAATTGTTTACTCAGAATAAAGCAAAGGAACCAGCCTAACTGGGGGTTTACTGGCTGACTTTGGCTGTTAGGCGCCTCAAACTGTAGTTAAAAGCCATTTACTAGTTGTGTTGAATATATTCACAACTTGACTACAAAAAGTTAATGAGGGGAGCTCGACAGCCTTAGACAAAATGAGCCATTATTACATGGGGGGGCGGCACTTCTGGGACCAGCATTCTAGCCCCCACCAGGGCTCTGTGGGTGTGGGGTTTCCTTCAGGGTCCCCCCCCCAGGTTGTTCCCTGCCTTGAACCCATAGCCTCTGCACCGCCCCTGACCCTGAATAGGTCAAGTGCTTTCAGAAAATGGACGATTAGATGTGACATAGTGGTGATCTGAAATCACGCAACATTGCAGTTGGATATTTATGCTGTGAAAAAAAAAAAAAAAAAACACACCTCATTTCATTTATCCCCTTTAATTACAAAAAAAAAAAAAACCCAGGTGTTGAATAATCTTTTGTGGACAGTCTGATGGCGGCCTTCACAGCAGGGGGAGGATAGAGGATGACTGACATTGCACACATGTGGCTGAGATACGTCCTGCTTCATACACACAAACACAAACCGACCAACAAAGCACGTCTAAACTGCCGACACAGCAGAGTGCTGAGGCAACATGCAGAGCGGGAACAAACGATGTACAAAACCAGGAATGTACAAATGATAAAACCCAGCCGAACACCCTCTCATATCTGTATCTTAAATACATAAAAATCTTTTACGGCTCATTAAAAAAAAAAAAAGTACAAGTCTAGGTCATAAACAGATTGAATGTTCCTCCTCCTAAGTGGTTAAGTCACCGCCAGATAAAATGCATTCATAACAGAGCATTGCTTTACACTAGACTGCATTTATACACAATTTTCCAACAGAAGCTAAATCCAAATTTCTTTAACACCAACAGCTTGATCATCCAAAACAAAAAAATGGGATCGAATTTGGAGAGAAAGCTTAATGGCAACTCGCCAGAAGCACATATTTGTCCAAATATGGAGAAGTAAAAATGACAGGATTCCCAGGCTTTGTCATCATTTGCTTCCAAGTCTGAAAGACAAAAGTAAAACATTTTTTTAATCAGTCTTGCAAAATGTAGAAAAAAATGACCACAAGCACATTACAGACACCTGTACCCATTTTACACAGTGACAGCTGAGGATGTTACCGGGGTCTCATGCGTGTTAAGCGGGGGGTGGGTGTGTGTGTGTGTGTGTGTGTGACCATTTCAGTGAGAAGCCTGGTTAAATGTGCCGCTTATGGCAAAAGCATACAGTACCTGCCAACATTTATGTAAGCAAGCAGATAAATATGGATGCGTATGTAAATAGAGGAATAACCAGATTTGTTTGTTTGTTGGATTGTGCATCTACATTGTATTTCATAGACGATCTGGTAACTAGGGTAACATCAGAGAGATGTACAAAACTCATGAATCTGTATGATGAATCTTCATAATGAAGTTTGAGGGCCATGCAAATTTCCTAGGATAAATAAAACAAGAGGGTGCTGGGAGATTGAGCCTGAAATACAGGAGAAAGCCGAGGGGGAAAAAAAACGGCAGTATTGGCAGGTTTGGGTGAAAGCCAAACCCAGCACATCGGACTAAGAGGTCCGACACTGGTGCAGGTAATGTAAAGATCAGTGAGGGACACGCATGAAACAGGCAGGCAGGGACTGGACCATGGAGGATGGCGTGACATTTGGCAAGGTCCATGAAGCCACACACTACATGGGGGGCGGGGCAATGGAGATGGGGGTAGAGGTGGCAGGCAGCCCTTACTTCAGGCTGCGGCGGGGCTGCACTTTATTAGAAACGGCATCTTTACCGCAGACTCCTATATTTTGCCAACCTACTACTTTGCTCTGCAGCAATCCTAAGAGAGAGAGAGAGAAAGGAAACAGGCGTGGACAGGAAAGCTCAGGATACAAGCAGTACAGGAGACAGGGGTTTAGGCGGAAGGAGGTTCAGGAACCACCCGAGTCGACACTGAGCCTGGAAAGCCTCTACATGACCCATGGGGTTCGACGTTGGAGCAGCTGACAGCAGAGCGACAGACCGCT